AGATGTTAACTGTTAGAATTGATATCTTATTTAATATCTCTGGTTATGGAATGGATGGTTCTCATCATTAGGACGTTGGACTGAAGGTCAACAAGATCACATTTGAAATCCAGTTGCTGCCCCATGGCAGAGTGCGTATGCCCATTTGCAAAATGTAAAATCACCAAACTGGTAGTTACACTGGTCGGATCCCACCCTTGCATCAGTCCTACAAAAAGTCTTTAATATTTCCATGAAGCAGGATACTAAATATCTAAAAATATCATATTATAACAATATGAACAATTTGTTATAAATATAATATGAATTTGGTCTAAAATCATACTTTAAAAAAGTAGTTCATAGTTTAAAACTTACCTGTTTCTCTAAAACCAGATGTATCCAAACAATAAATCCTAGCATGTTTTTATGTGTACGCCTAATATAAACTCTGCTCCCCAAATAAGCCCTATTTAACAGCTTGTGCCCATTTAATCTGTTTGCTCATTGTGCCATGGCTATGGTGGTGGACCTGCCCCATGTGCCCCACACTGGCTTACTTCAGGGCTCCTGCAGCCAGGCCATCCATGCTGACATCTGCCTCACGGCAGCAGCACCAACAACCATATACAGCAGAGAGCCCGCTTGGCCGCCGGTCCCCTTCTTCTGCTTGCTCACAGCTGCAATAAAGCCAGGGGTGGGATTCTACCAGTTTGGACCTGTTCTATAGAACCGGTTGTTATAATTCTGTACAATACGGAAAACCGGCAAATTTTGCCACTGGCTGCCCCCGTCCCTGCCTGCCTCTCTCCTCCTACCCACTCACCCCGCCCCACCCAGTCACTCCTCATCTTGCCCGTCATTGCTAACCTGTCTTCACCTGCCATTGCTGCCTGCCTTCCGCCAAGGCCCTGATCTCCCTGGGTGAGTGAGCCTGCAAGCAAGCCCCAGCTGAGTTGACTCCCTGGCTGGCCTAGGCCACTGCGCTGTTTCCTCCTACCATCCCCGGGTTTGCCTGGCTTGCTTCACCACTGGTGCACTCTCCTTCTCCCCCTGGCTGGGAAGAAGCCACATGGCCATGGTCATACTGGCTGCGAGAACGTTCTCCTTCTCCCCCTGGCCAAGAAGAAGCCATATGGCTATGGCCACGCTGGCTGGGAGAGCGTTTTCCTTCTGCCCCTGGCCAGGAAACTGCATGGCCAAGCTGGCCAAGAGAACAAATTCCCCAATGATTTCTTTGCCTAGCTAATTTGCAGCTCCTTCGCATTTCTTGCCATCGTGTTCAGGGAAAAAAAGTTTATGTGGGGCTAAAAAAAAGTTCAATCAATCAATTCCAATTTCTTGCAAAAGAAAAAGATTGTACAAAGTTGAAATTGATTGAGTGAATTTCTTTTTACTCACACTCAAACTTTTCTTTCCCTGCACATGATGGCAAGAAACATGAAGGAGCTGCAAATCAAATAGACAAAGAAATCCTTGGGAGAAGCGAGGGCATCTGGGTGGTGGTGGGTGGGGAAAGCTCCATGATGCTGCGCTGCAATGGTGAAACGGGCAACGGAGTAGCTGGCATGAGGTAAGGAGGAGGCTGCCTGCTGTTCTTCTCTTCTCCCTGTTCCTCCTGCTCCCCTAATGCTGGTTGCTCCATTTCCCATGTCTACATTGCAGCGCAGCACCCAGGAATCCACTTTGGTAGCATGGAGGGGATAATTTGCCTGGCCAAAGTAACCCCACAGTCTCTGCTACATACCTTGGGCTCAGCAGCAGCTTCGATCAGGTCGCTCCATCAGCAGTGAACAAAACAGCCCCATCGCAATTTGAAATAACCACGAGGGTGGGATAGGGTTTTTAAAGTGTGCATGCTCACAAACTACATTCCCTGATTTCTCAGCAAGCTACAGCGCCTCTTCAGGCTCAGCAGAGCCAATTTGGTCTTTTTAGCTATGGTCACCACACAAGGGCTGGTGTGTGTATGTGCTTTTTAGGGGTCTACTCTTTTAAGGGGTGCTAGCTTTGGGATTTACAGGATTGCGGGTTGATCTGTTTCCCACCTCCCCCCACTTTGTCCTTTGGCTTTATAGGTAGATAGTCCTCCCTGAGATTTGTGTCTGATTCGCTGCATACAAGTCTGTTATTTTTGGAGGGTCCTTTTTGGACAGGATGAGCTGTGGTTTTGCATTGATGTTCGAATGGATGGATGTGTAGGTGTTTAACTTCATTAACTTCATGAAGTTCACTTTTTCTTAAGCACTGCCTTTGAAACTCTATAGATTTTAGAAAGTTTTGGTGTAAGAGTAAGAACTTAAAATGTATTCATACCATAGATATTGTTGGAAAAGTCCTGTTAGTCTGTGGTAGCCAAAAAATCAGGAATCTGGTAGCTCCCTTTCAAGCTAACAACATCCTTCATCAGTTTAGCTACTCCATCAGTTGGATAAAGTGAGATACTACCTGTTAACCTGAAATGGGTCTAATAGATTCCTACCCCAGAGGTAATCCTTTATTTACACCACAGCTGAGTCCAAAGCTTCTGTTGTTAAGGAAGACAATTGATAAGTGAGTTTTGCTCCATTTTATGATTATAATTGTTAAGTGAATCACTGCAATTAAGTTAGTAATACAGTAACACAGTTGTTAGGTGACTCTGGCTTCCCATTGATTTTCTTGTCAAAAAGATCACAGAAGGTGATCACATGACGCCGGAACATTGCAACTGTCATAAATACATGCCAGCTTCCAAGTGTCTGAATTTTGATCACGTGACCATTGGGATGTTGCAATGGACATAAGTGTGAAAGATGGTCATAAGTAAAAATTTTCAGTGTTGTTCTAACTTTGGTCACTAAATGAATGGTTGCAAGTCGAAGACTATCTATAGTCTATATCAATTTATTCCTAATGTGTTCTGTGAAACTTGTTATTTAGCTAGGATATGTGTTATGATCAGGGAGATTGGTTAGCAGCTAGCAAATATTCTAGCTTTTCTTACATGAAATCTGCCTACAAGTGTAGGTCTGATTTTAAGATTGTGATCATATAAAGTGAATAATTCAAAATAATTTTTTATTGATAAAATGCTGTCTTATCTCTTTATCTTGACACTGGATATGGGATCTGCAGCAAAAAGAAGACTGGGGAATTCTGGAGGTTGAAGTTCATACAGGTAGCCCTCAATTTAACAACCATTTCTTCCATCCTCTATTCCTACCTTCCATTTCATGAGGCCAATAACTTTATTCTCTATTCAGAAGGAAGCCGAATCCAGTAGCCCCTTGAAATTAACAGGATTAACTTCTGTGTATACAGTAGTCCTCAATTTACAATAGTACATTTCGTGACCATTCAAAGTTACAATGGCACTGAAATGATTGCTTTTCAACTTACAGTCATTGCAGAATCCTCATGGTCAAAATTCAGATGCTTATCAACTGGTTCATATTTATGACAGTTGCAGTGTCCCAGGATCATGTGATCAACTTTTGCAACCTTCTGACAGATTCACTTAACAACTGAACAACTGCAGTGACTTACTTAACAACTGTGGCAAGAAAAGTTGTTAAATGGGGCAAAATTGACTTAGTACCAAAGGAGCAGCTCCTCGCATTGTAGCTGCTGCAATGAATATGAGAAGCCCAGCCAATGTTTTGAACACAGTTAACATCTCTAGCCCAATGAGTTCTCCATTAACATTCATCACACCTGTCAATTTACCAACTTCCTGAGCCCCAGGGGAGCTTCCTGGAAGCAAAAACATCCGCCAGGAAGCTCCCCTGAGGCCCAAAAAGCCCCAAAATTGAGCAAGGTGGGGGGGTGCTGCACGCCCCCTCCAGGTTCCCTTTTTTTTTTTCTGAGTCCCAGGGGAGCTTCCTGGGAGCAAAAATTCCCCCCCAGGAGGCTTGCCTAAGGCCCAGAAGGTCCCAAAAATGGGGGGGGGGCCTGCAAAAAACCAAAACAAAAAAGCCACACCCACCCAGTCACATGGCCATGCTCACCAAGCCACATCCACAGGACCGGTAGTAAAAAGTTTTGAATCCCACCACTGATGCCTTTCCTTCCCCAGGCATTGCCAACCACTCCACCCTAGTAAAAAAAAAACCTAGAGCAAAAACTTCATGCAGTATTAAAAAGAACAGAAAAGGGAGCTGCTGTGTATTGTTTAATGGACTGCTAAATTGGCAAAATGGACTGCTAAATTGGCCACACCCACTCAGTCACATGACAAGGTGGCCATGCCCCCCCAGTCACATGACAACCTAGCCATGCCTTCACGGTCACATGACCACTTAGCCACATGACCACCAAGCCACGCCCAGCCATTCACATGACTACCAAGCCACCTAGCCAGTCACATGACCACCAAGCTACCCCCCAAAATTAAGCCACACCCACAGAACCAGTTGTTAAAAAATTTGAATCCCACTCCTGAATAAAGCTGGAGACCAAGTGGTATGTTGGAGCCGTGAGGTGAGGCAGGTGTCAGGGCATGGATGGCCTGGCTGCGGAGGCCGCTACATAAGCCAGTGCAGGGCATATGGGGCAGCTCCACCACCCCGCACCTCATGACCACGGCACTGATGTGTCGCTTGGCTTCATGCTCCATTGCGGCCGAAAGCCAGAAGAAGTCAGCTGATAGCCATGTGGGCTCCTCTTGGACAGGATTGTGCACATGTAAAAAAACGCCCTTTCTGAATTGTAGCAGTGGCACTGGCATGCCATGCTGCCTCCTGCCCCACCGCAAGCAAGTAGAAGTGTGCCTCCCATACACGGACAGACCCCCCCCTCCAAAAAAAAAATAAGCCCTAGTGCTTGTTTTGGGGTCTAAACGAAAACAAGACCCAGTCTGATTTTCAGGGAAACATGGGGTATTTATGTTTTCTAGTTCTTTCCTCCATTTGACATTCTGGGAATAAGGAATGGAATATCATCTCACTTTTCATAACAAGAATGAAAAATAAAAGGAGCAGGTAAAATACCAAAAAAAATAAAGCTAATGACAAAATAGTTTATCACTAAAGTCAAAATACCTGTTATTGAGCAATAGATAATATGAGGTGCAACTGTGTTAATGTCATCATAACCCAGACCCATTCCAGCCAATTTTCCAGGGACATAGTTTTCCACAAGGACATCACAGACAGCTGCTAGCTGAAATTTAAAGTGGAAATGAATCAGATTCTTAACAAATTTCCAAGCATTCATCAACAATAGAACATAAATGTAATTTTTAAATTCTAGTATACAAGGCAGTTTTAGCATATCTGTGTTCTATAGAGTCCAATTATAAAGCAGATATGGCAAGTGCTTATAGATGAATTTTCTAGTAGTCTTCAAATTGGTTATTCATTATTCACAGTGAAATGACAGCATAACTCTTTTTCAGCAGTAGAAAATGGATCTGAATCAACCACAAAATGATTTAGATAGATCAGAAAGAATCTTGATTTCCACAAGGTGGCAAAAATTAAAAACTTTGCTTTGAGAATTTTTATTTATTATTCTAAACATTTTCCCATGTCTTTGTCAAAAATATTCCCAAAGGATTTTTCATGCAATTGATTTTAAAACATAATTCCTGTCCACAAATTAAGTATCAAAGGGAAAAAAGTGACAAAAATAACATGAGATGGAGGGAGGAGGGGAGGGGAAATAAAACACAGCAACTAATTCTTAAAATATCAGTTCTGAAACTGAAACTCAAGAGTAAGAAGAGCCTAACAGAACTGTCTGTTTTGCTCATTCAAAGTATTTCTTTACTTTGTAATAATCACATTTAATCGATGATTATGGAACTAAGGCATACACAATTTCTAATCCATAAATCAAGTTCCATGATGCCTGAAAAAGTCTCCACAGATATCACTGAGACTGCAAAGCATTTTCAAGAACAGTTGCTATTAGGGAAGAGCTATAATCATTTATTCCACAATGCTGTAGAAAAATATTACACATGTGCAAAGATGGTATTCAGCAAGTTCTGACCAGTTCTGGAGAACTGGTAGTGGAAATTTTGAGTAGTTCGGAGAACTGGCAATTACCACTTCCATCTATTCTCTGCCTCCCAAGTCCCAACTAATGGGCTGGGTCTTCTTTTGTTGCCCTGCAAGGGAGAACGGAGCTGGAAAGCAGGTTAGTGGGATGTGGAGGGAATGGAGATTTTACAGTATCCTTCCCCTGCCATGTCCACCAAGCTACGCCCACATAACCGGTAGTAAAAAAATTTGAATCCCACCACTGCTACATGTGTGAATAAACACACATACCAACTAAAACTATTCAATTAACATAAGCTCAATTTGTTTCGAAGTATTATTTTGGTCTGCATGTGGAAAAATAGGGGAGAAGAGAATGAATAATGTGTGTTATGAGTAATGGGAAAATGTGTTGGGGATTGCTTCTCAAAATGAATACCTTTTACTCCTTATTGGTTGTGGCCAGATTCACCAAAGACTTAATATCATTCCATCAAGCCAATCTATTATTGGGCCAAAAAAAGTAAGTGTTCTTTTGAATTTCAACTTTAGTTGTGGTTTCCATCCAGCCAGTAATAAAAAAGAATTTTAGTGTCATGGTAAAAATATATCCCTAAAATGACAATGTTGAAGATGTTTAAAGAATGTAATGGAGGGAAAGGTTCATTGATTTCAAAAAGTACCCTTTATTATCCTCACATCACTTTTTAAAGAATCTATACCTACAATTATAATGTTTGTTTTTTTTACTGTAGACTTAATCTATATAGACATTATTGTGAATTTTGGAGTTAGCTCACAATATACTAAAAGCATATTTTTATTTTTCCTTTAATGTCTGAACAGCAGCATTAGTGACTGACAAAGCTTTGGATGGGCACAATCTATTCAGTGCTAAACTGCTTTCCAGAACTAGCTTCTCACACAGAACTTTATAAAGCAAACAGTTAAAAAGTACTGTATTTTCTCTTGGTTATAGCCAGACAAAAATCCATGTTTTAACTTCCTCATTATGCACAAACCATTTTTTTTACAAATAGTTACTTCATTTTTACATTACTTTATTGCGCTCATTTACATTAACAAAGAACTTTGAAAGAGAAAGTAATTATCAGTTTGAAGTTATGCCCGTGTTCTTGATTTCTGTTTAATATTGAAAATACTGCCTTCTAGAACTTTATTCACATCAAAATAATATTTTTAAATGTTTCAGTCATGTCCCCACTTTCCATTCTGTCTTCCAGGCTACACATTTCAATTCCTTCAATCTATCTGATTCTTTTGTCCCTCAGACTTTGCGCCATTTTTGTTGCCCATCTCTGGAGGCATTCAATGTTATCAATATTTTTTTTGTGAGAAAACCTCAGACAAGAATATATCTTTCCAGTAATATGCACTATTTTGAGTTATCTAGCATTTACCAAAGCAACTAAGATAACTGACTCATTCAAATATTATTAAGTGCTAACACAGACAATGGTAAAATACACAATTGCACACAAGTTGGCCACTTTACTAAGAATGACTAGATTCAGAAATGGTGTACCATATTGGCTATTATGTTCAATAAATAGTTATGTTATAAAGTTATGATTATTATTCTTGTAAAGGGTGTTCACAGAAAAACATTTCATAATTATTTATTTAATCTTATAGGATAAGCTTTGTTCATTGCGAAATTGTGTCTGACCCATCGCGACCCCATGGGCAACATTCCTCCAAGCCTTCCTGTCCTCTACCATCTTCTGGAGTCCATTTAAACTCACACCTACTGCTTCAGTGACTCCATCCAGCCACTTCATTCTCTGTCATCCCCTTCTTCTATTGCCCTCAGTCTTTCCCAGCATTAGGCTCTTCTCCAGTGAGTCCCTCCTTCTCATTAGATGGCCAAAGTATTTGAGTTTCATCTTCAGGATCTGGCCTTCAGGGATGATCTTCTCTAGGACTGACTGGTTTGATCGCCTTGGGGTCCAAAGGACTCGCAGGAGTTGTCTTCAGAACCATAGTTCAAAGACCTCAATTCTTTGGCGCTCAGCCCCTCTTATGGTCCAACTTTCACAGCCATACGTTGCAACTGGGAAAACCAAAGCCTTGACTATACGCATGTCAGGTTTCCAAGTGATGAAATCCATTTAAAAAGAAAAGGGCAAAATCCATCTTCCAAAACAATTTATTTTATTTAGGAAAACATCAAATTGACAAAGTCCACGGTAATTCCAGATCTGACACAACCTGGAATTATCCCACAAAATTAGAAGATAGAAACAACCCCCAAAGTCACATTCTCCAATAAAAGTAATTCAACATTGCTTGATGTCATAAATCTCCACCTCAAGGGGCCTCAGCATGGTAGCTCATGTTCCCACGGGAAGAAGAATCACCTAGCCTAAACAACTCTATCTCCACTCCTCCCTCCTTAGGAATGTGGCAAGCCCAAAACCCTTCCCCCATAACCACAAAAGAGAAAGTAAGAAAAAGAATATATACTAAGCCTAATTAAAATGGCTACACATGTCAATTTTGGGCTTGACAGGTTGCCCTTCCTCATTTGAAAAGAAAAAGAAACCCCTGAAATGACATAGAATACACAAAGATTGAAATTAGGTTAAATACAATCATACAAAACGTATTTTAACCTCCTCTGCCACCCACAGAATTCACCTTAGGCTTGTGTGGATATTTTTCATGGAATTTTCCCACCAATCTATCAGCATTAATTTTCCAGCTATTTACCCAAGTTGCTTGTGAAATTGGATAGCCTTTTCAATAAATTAAATATTGTAACTTTCCCCTGAAAATCCTAGAATTCAAAATGTTTTTAATCTCATAATGTTCATGCCCCGCAATCAACAAAGGCTTCGGAGCAACACATTCTGCTGGCCTTGATGAAAAATCAGCAAATGGCTTTAATAAACTACTTATGAAACACCGGATGTACTTTCCCCAATAGCCTACAGAGATTAAGTTTCACAATTACTGGGTTTATTACTTTAATTATCTGAAAAGACCCTATAAATTTTGGACTTAATTTCCTAGAAGGTAAGTGTAACTTCAAATATTTAGTTGACAAATAACTTTATCCCCACTTTAAATTGTGGCTGCTGGGAACGATGTTTGTCAGCTTGTATCTTTTGGATTTGTGCTGCCTTATTCAAAGCCTTTTTTGTGTTTTCCCAAGACTCCTTAATTGCATCCATCCATTCAGTTACTGACATGGATTGTGGGGGGTATCCCTCGGCAATTCAGGCATGGGAATGAACTCCATCCCAGTATTAATTTGGAAAGGTGTTAACTCAGTACTACTATATACAGCATTATTATAAGCAACCTCAACAATGGCAGCAAATCAGCCCACTTGGTTTGTTGATAATTTACATAACATCTTAAATATTGTCCAATAATTTGGTTAGTTTTCTCACACAATCCGTTGGTTTCTGCGTGCAATCCTGAGCTTAGACCTTGAGAGGATCCAATTGCTTTTATAAATTCCCTCCAGAATTTTGCAGTAAACTGAACCCCTCTATCTGAAATGATTCTGTAAGGCATGCCATGCAATCTCTCTATATATGATTCACAAACATAATTTCCTGGCTGATGCTAGTCCTGGGCATGCAACAAAATGAGCTTGTTTGGAAAATAAATCCACTACAGTCCAAATGACTGTATACCCCCCACTCTCAGGTAAATCTACTATAAAATCCATCCCTATCTCCTCCCAGGGCTGGGATGGTTCTGCTACAGATTGTAATAATCCCGGAGGTTTTCCTGGTCTGGTTTTCCTTGCGGCACAAGTGGCACAACTCTTTACATAATCCTGCTTCATTTTTGGCCACCAAAACTGGAGTCTGACCATGTGTAGGGTTTTTAAATATCCCAAATGTCCTGCTTGTTTTGAGTCATGACTTTTCTGAAGTGCATGAAGATGTAAAGTTGGGGACATATAGTTTAGAACCCTTCCATGCTACACTCTCCCGCATAGTTAATAAATCCTTATTTTCTTGATACCAAGTATCTGCTGTTAATTCATTTTGCAACTTCCTGATCATTTCTGATTTGTCTTTGATTTTTTGGGTTTGGGCTTGTGCCTGTGTGATTACTTGAACTATCTCTTGAGGGGACAGTGGAATGATTGGGTAAAGTACTTCTTCTCACTTACTGTCAAATTGGGGCTTCCTA